TAGAGCTTTTCAAGATTTCATCACTATCTTTAATCAAAGAAAAGTTAACATTAAGCTCTGTCATGTTGATCAGATTTCTAACCAATTAAATGATAACCCTTAAGTTCACAAAAGCAAATCTATGGCAAGAAACCTCAGCAGCCTCTGAACACTAAGAGCACTCAGCAAAGCAAAACAACCTCACTTAGAAAAAGAAGATGCTGTTTGTTAACTTAAGTAATAAAATTATTTAAAAATATTTTTATGAAGTCTGGTGTGCTACAACAATGGCAAAGCCATCACCAATGTTATTGATTTTATACACTTGCTCTCAATCCTCAGATGAAGTCAGGATTGCTGCTATGAAGGTGACACTGTGACAGAGGTGGGGTTATCCACTGCTTGGTTTAATTGTCAAGAATGCTTTAAATTGGTCAGCCCTGAACAGGCATTTGGACTAGATGACGTTTGTAGGTCCCTTCCAACTGAAATAGTTCTATTCTACTCTATTCTATTTCTAAATCTCATGAAACTATGGAAACACAACTCTCAGATCAACCTGCTTCTTTATTTGTTATGACACACTGTTTAAAAATACTTTTTGCAATGGTATGGCATCCTTTCATTAAGCTACAACAGTGGAGGTGGAAACCATGACTATTAATAAGAAATTTTGTCTTCTCATTTTATTGCTCCCTAAAAAGTATCAGAGACCAGTATCAGCACCAGGTCAGAGAGATTTCCTATTCAACAAATGATTATTCTCACTTGAATTTGGACATATTGACACATGCATGACCATAGAAGGAACATAAGTACTAAATTTTACATAATTCAAAACCTGCATCAATTTTGTTGCTGATTTCCTGATAAAAGCATGTTTGGGATGCAGTCTTTTAGAACTTGATGTAAAGGTCAAATGTTTGATATCAGCCTAACAGGAAACATCATTCCAAGTTTGCAGCTAAGTGGCTAATCTCTAGGTGTTACAGGCTCACTGAGCCCAGCATGGACTCACTAGAGCTTCCTACCATTAAAAAAAAAACAAGGAAAAGAAAAGATCATGGTAGGAAGTCTGTTTAATTGTCAAGGGCACAACATGAATCAAGGAAGCAATGGTTAAGCAAACTAGACATCTGGTTGAATTTAACTGTTCAGGAAAAAAGAAATTTGGAGTGAGTAGCCATTGACATTTGAATGGTTATCCTTTCTTCTCTTTTTTGTGCTTTCTGACTCGCTTCATTTGGTACTAAAATTGAGGTATGAAATTAACCTCTCATGGCTGTAAAGGACAGTCAACTGTACTTGAACTGGAAAATAGTTTGCACATCACATTCCTCACTGGCTAAAGAGGAGATGCAACAACTAAATCCCAGTTATCATGAAAATGGCCCAGGAATGGAAAATGTCTGAAAGGCATACACAGGCACACAATCCTTAAAGATCTGTGCTTTGTGATAATGATGATGAGCCAAAACCCAGAGACTGCAGTGAAAGAATAACAGTAGTTTTATAATCCTGACATGATTATAACAGCTGTTGGTAGTTGTATAATTTGGAGTTCAGTTTTTCTCACTCTGTATATATTCTAGGTTTATGCAAAAGCATACACATATATGTATAGGTAAACATACATATGCATGGTTTTCTTCTGTTCTGCTGGTCATTCCCTTATCTTCTGACTAAGCACTTTCCTGCAACATAGAAACACTCAAAAGGCATTTGCAGAAACAGAAAGCCTACTGCATTACTCTTGTAGATAACAATGTCTGTACTCTGACAGAAATATTTAGAAAAGCAGCACAGTGGCAGGTCTGTCATTTTTTAATTGTCATCTTGGATTAATTTCTTTCTACACTGAATCAAAATTACCATTCCTTAAGATTCTTTCAGAACTAAAAATAAATCTAACTGTGAAAAAGTCTCATATAGTTACCAGAAAATTCCACATTAGAAATGTATGCTGCTTCTTCTTAAATGAAATTTGTATTTTGACCGCAGCCTGATATATTGAAGTTTGGCCATACTGAAACAACCCAAATTCTGTCTTTAGCCATTTATGTCTCAGAGGTGCTGTACTCTAAGTGGTACGCCTGTCATATAGCCTGTGCCATGGTTTAACCCCAGCAGGACACTAAGTACCACACAGCTTCTCATTTTGTGTGTGTTCCTACCTGGTGGGTCAGGAAGAATCAGGAAAGAAAACAATTTGTGGGTTGAGATAATAACAGATTAATAATAAAATCAACATAATAATGATAATATGAATACTACCAGTTGTAAAATGAAAGGGAGAGGTGGAGAAACAGATAAAATCTAAGAAGAGTGATGCACAATACAATTGCTCACCATCATCAAGCCACAGCTGGTCCCTATCCTGGGTAACAACCCCAGTTTATATACTGGGCATGATGCGCTATGGTATGGAATATCCCTTTGGCCAGTTCAGATAAACTGTCTTGGCTATGCTCCCTCCTGGCTTATTGTGCACCTATTCACTGGCAAACCATGAGAAAATGAAAAAATTCTTGATTTGGGGTAAGCACTACTTAAACATCAGTATGTTATCAACTTTATTCTTGTACTAAGTACCACTGCACCTGGTACTAGGAAGAAAATAAACTCTGTCTCAGTTGGAACCAGGATCAGTTTCTAACTTGTCAGATGAAGAACTGCTTTGCCAATTAAATATTCATTCAACTTCCACACTTTCCTTAACCATTACTGACATACCTGTAATTTACTTGACTTAGGAATTTACAGACTATCATCTTTGGCAAGATCATGTGCATAGCTCATCCAGAAACAAGTGCCACTTTCTTTGAATCACTTCTTCAAACATCATTGGCCACTGTTTAACAGTGCTTTCCACCAAATAAAATCTCAATCCAATTATTTCACAACTTGTAGAAACTGATTGAAAAATAGAACATCACCCATCTATTAACTGTCAAAAGATGACCAGAGACACAGCACTTAAGAGTCCTTTTACACCGTTAATATGACAATTAACTTTCACTTTCCTGCATTTACCTGTAACCATCTGAAAGATCAGTTTAGTCAGAGACCAATTGGCAAACTCAAAACATTACCACAATCTTACATATTGCACAACACGTGCAAGAAGCCCATTCTTAATTTAAGAACATTAAGTGACTGTAGAATAAATCCACAATCCATTAGTAAACATCCTCAGAAGATACAAAAAGACAGAATTGGATTTAAAAAATCTCGTTAACTGGAGAATAGTTCTTAAAGAAAGTGAATAGTAAGTAGCTGGAGGCATTTTCCCTCTAGCTTATTAGCTGTAATCAACCAGGTTTCCAAAAATTCATGGCAATTCAGCTTGTATCCTAGTTCATATAAATTCTGCTTTAGAATATGGACTGAAAAAAGTTATCATGTCTATTTAGTTGAATAGAAAAGATAATCAATTGAACAATTTTGGTGATGATGAAAATGTTTACTTGCTTCTCTTAGTTTCATCCATCATAGTCCAGCTTCAGTAAGGACAAAATTCTCTTCCTGAAGGCAGGAACAGTAGAAAACTTCGTGTTTCCTTTGGCAAATCTGTTCCATCACCTTTCTAACTCTGTTCAAGCCAGCTCAGCCACATTATCACAGTCTTCAGCAGGCATGGAATATCTCCTCCGTGCTACCCAGCATTTTACCCAGTCTGTTCATCTGGCATTTTCTAAACCCATACAAGGTTTTTTTGTTTGGCTTGCAAAAGATATATTTGAAAATTCAGTCCCAGAAGCTTGAGATAAAAACCAAAAAACACATGAATCCAACTTTCTTGTTTTTCTGGGACGTTTAACTAGGCTTACAGTGTCAGGTTGATCTATAAGTGAGAAAGATACAATTTGAAAAATCTTGCCTAAAAAAGACATTAGAGAGATAACTAAGAGTGAGAACTAAGTTGGACACAAAATATACTAAAGTTTTTAAGCTGCTGAAAAAATCACACTTTTTATTTTTGCTACTTGTTACTTACTCCTAACATATCACATATTTTTAACTTTTATCTTCTTAATGCATTATGAAACTAAGTATAAAAAGATTGGTCTAAAAATTAAAATATTATTGCACTGTAGAAATTGTCAGAACAAATGAGCACATGTTCAAAGAGAAAAAAATGTAACTGTTAAACATGTACAGTGGCATGCAGTTATTTCACTTCTAATACATTTTTTTATAGTTCTCTCCTTCTGTTTTTGGTTTTTTTTTTTTCCCCCACCATAAATTATTGATACATGCTCCATAAAGTTTAACACTGAACATAAAGTTAGCAGCAATCCTAGATTTAGGTACTGATAGTGTAGCATAGCTGAAGATTTCTCTCTAAGCATTTTAAATCTAAATGTAATTCAATACAAAAGAATGCATTCACTCTACAAGTAAGATTCATCCTCTTGCTTATCTTAAGTTACCTCGTTGAAGCTACTCACTTGAGCATCCTACACAATCACTGGTAAAAGATATAGCTTCAGGAGCTAAGGAAATTCCCCTGTCTTAGGATAACCTGAAAAATCCTTCTTCTTCACTGACACACTGAGACACTGCACTTGAATTACAATTTTCGGGTTAGGTGAGAATAGTTCCAACAGCAAGAACCCATGGGCCCACATATGTGCAGGCAAATGCATCTGTGCTTAGCAAAGTCAGACTATGCTCATAGCCACATAAGACACAGCTGACAAAAAGAATTACAAAACATGTCTAGTTTACCAAATAGAATTCATGCACAGGTATCTAGTCTTTTTTGTTCTTTTAAAACATGAAAAAAAAGCTTTTCTCCAAATAAACAGGGGAAAAAAGAAATCTGTCAACTTTAATAGGCAAAATATCCTAATAAACAGGGAAATAAACAGGTAGATTTAGTAAATTTTCTAAAACAAGAGCAATGAAACATAATCTGTAAGAGTGACTGCTTTATGAAAGGCAGATTACGAACTTTTACCTTGATTAGCATTTAAATAATTCCATAAAGAGTTTGCAAATGCTGCAATGAAACATACCTGGCATTAACCCAGCAGTATGGAATACCTTCTCCAGCTTTGTTTTACTTTCAAGGAAAAATTCTTCTTTGGTTATTGGAAGATTTAGAGCATCTCGAATAATCCCTGCTGCTTCTGGGGCTTGTCTGCCTAGAACCATGGATTTCACATCCCAGGTATAGGACTTTCCATAACGCCTGCAGATCCCGTCATACACTTCTGTATAGAGATTCTCAGTATCTGAAAAGAAAAAAAAAAAAGGAAATTTAAACCTATGTATAAACAAGTAGGCAGCTGGTCTTGCTAAGAGACCACATAAAAGTTCAGGGCATGAGCTGCCAGGAGCCAGGGGCATGTAGCAGGCGGGATAGAATGCCTCCCTTTATTTGCAGGAGGGGACCAAGGCTTCTACCATCAGCTCAGATGTACCTCATTTTTCAAGCTGTCATTTCTACATTAAGAAAATATATCTTAGGGTCTCAATAAATAACTATATGGACCTGCTCTTTCATCACCTTTCTTCATTATCCAGGTTAGCAAGAGTGTCTTAATTTAAATACTCTATCTATGCTTTTCATGAAAAAAAAAAAGAAAGGAAGGAAGGAAATCTGGTACTTTGTGGGGTTGTCATTCCATATTCCATGTAAATTGAAAAAAGATTTAATTATTTAAGAGTGTCTTTGAGAGGAAGTTTCTAAGTGCCTTCAAAGACATTATGGTCATTATTACAGAGCTGCTGGCGCTACTGCATTTACAAGAGATTACTCAAGCAAAACACACTCGTATTTCCAGTGGATTTCAGACAAGAGCAAACTTCAGACTGAATTTTGGCAATGATACTATCAGCTTATATGTTAAAGGTGGTTTTCAGTTTGAAGCTATTTTTTTTTCATACAAACAAACAATTCATCCTTTCCTTCCCTCCTACCCCTACAAAATTTTTAAAAAGAACGTCATTAACATTGCTAATATGGGGATGACATGTACTTCCAGCTCTTGTCTTCATTTCAAGAAAGATGTCAAACACTGGCTTTTCTACCAGTCTGTTTATATTTTTTAGTAGTCTCTTCTGAAAAGCCAGCCACTGCTGTTAACCATGCTTTAATTTCCTCCTCAGGCATGTCTCTGCCTTCTGTATCTCTAAAGATATGTCTATTGCCATCACTTTAGAAATAAAAGGCAAAAGCAAGAAAAGAAAAAAGTTGCTCTTACCAGATTTATTTAAACTAGGGATTTCACTTATCAACATATCCTTTGCCATGTAAAATATTTTTAACGGAGATAATAAAAGAGTGAAATTATTCATGTGGATATTGCATCACTTTCTGAATACATAAGAATTATGCAGGAGTGATTAAATGTTAAGCTTTAACAAAGACACTATGAAGAAGACAGTCTGAAGAAACAAGCACAGAGCCCATGACTACAACAGATGCCAAGATCTTCCCTGCAGTCTGACAAAAATTCCCTCCTTCACCACAGTAATGTCATCCTGAGATCAGTAGATGAGTCTCATCTGAAAGCAAATAAGAAACACAGGGGCCATTTCACCATCGTGTGAACCTACAGCAGTGCAGAATAGATTCTCTGCCACCTTTCAGAGTGCTCTAGTCCATGTCTCCTCTCAGTAACTAGAGGGGATGTTGGGCCAAAAGATCAGATGACAATCCAACATACTTGTCAGGAATATTTAACAGAGCACCAAAGGGTTCACAAAAACCTCTTACCTTAAAAATAGAGGCAAAAACACCGATACTACTCTTTGTGAAAGCTCCTTAAACAACTACACATAAGAGAAAAAAATTATAAGGGAGCTTGGAGACCCCTCAAACACACAGGAAAGGTATCACAACAGAAACACAGGCAAAGGGGCTCTGAAAAGTGTTAAGCTGGCTGACACAATAAAGGAGAAAAGAAAAAAGAGAAAAGAAAAAAGAAAAAAATCCTCAATTTTGCTTAAAAATGCCAGCTGGTACACTCTGCAAGATTGTACACTCTGCATTGTAACAAGAAAGAAATCACACACAGTTCAAAGGACTGATCAGAGTTTAAATATATCAGTGAAGTATAATTTCATACTGCTATAGATCTACTATACAAACCAAACCATATCTAGCTCCCATACATGAATAAAACCCACTGATGAAATGACACAAGCAAGAAGAATTAGAAGTTCAACTCAAGTGCCCAATTACAAGAACCTACTGTCCAAGACATCCACACAATGTTAAAAAGGTCATTTGGGCAAGACTCACACTTCATGGCATAAGTAGCCAGATGATGCCCTACAGCATCCCAAGTGTGTCACACTAACATATTTCAGGAAGTGAATCCAGCCCCAGCTGCTAGCCTCCATCAAGAATACAAACTAAGAACACAACAGGACATATGTGGCAGTGGCCTCTTCTAATAATGGAAAGGAAAAGCAAGAATTCTTAGCTCCTGCAATGCTTAAGTTTTCAAAATACTCCTTTTATTTCTAGCTCTCATCTCTTGAAATATCTTTTACATGGACATTATCAGCACAATGTACTGTCCATCTGCTTGCTACATTTCACTGGGAATGAGTAATATTCATTCCCTAGTCACATATCATCTTCTAGTCATTTTTATAGTGACCCTTCGTCAATATAAAAGTACAGTCAGCTCCACTGGTGTTGTTTAGAGTGTGTAAAAGCCAGCCACGATAAATACAAATAAAGTGACCAAAATGACAGAGGCACTGGATGATTCAATTTGTGATCTGGCACAAAAATATGCTGACACGTATTCAGGAAGAGCTGCAGGTCACTTGGAAACACCCCACAGTAAATACATGGAGTGCATGATCTGCTCTGCAGAGTCACAATTAGATGTAAAGATCTAGCTAAGCTAGGGGTACAGCAAACATCAAAACAGTATGTAAGCCTCACATTTATCACTTATACATAAAGACAGTTTAAGACAGAAAATTACGACTTCATGAATACAGAACATTTTTTTTAGAAGGCTATACACCTTCTAATTGAATATTATGTTATTGTTATTCTAAAATAATCTCTAGTTTATCAAGTAGATGAGATTAGTAGGCATGAAACCTCTTTCTAGCCATAGCTCATCTTAATCACTAGTTTTGAGTTCTTTGTTTGAATAACCCATCTCAGTTTTTCACTAAGCTTCCCAGATGAAACACACCTATGATTTATCCTTCTGCTAGAAGCCTAAACCATCTTAAAAATTTTAATTGTGTGCATTCAATATATTTCAGCAATTCAAAATCAGACCCCTGACAACTAAACACAGGATTTTTTAAAATTATTATTTTTATTTTTGATATAAAAGTCACCAAAGAGAAGAATTTTAAGTTAAGCAACAGGTTTCTTGTGTCCATACCTGTGTGGCAGATTTCTACTCACATGCAGAATTTTCAGTATTCAATTAAGCCAAATTTAGACACAGTCAGTCATTTTCACCAACATTTTGGCCCAGGACTGAGAAAGACTCATTAGATTTTGGCACCATGAATACTGAATGAATACATAGGTGTTAAAAACTATGATTTGGCTTTCCTATCAGTCTTTCACATTATTCCAATAAACTCTTTAGAGTATGCAACAGTGTAAAAAACCATAAAAATTACTAAAATGCTCAGCTGAGGTACAAGAGACAAATATAATCACAAACCAGAATATAATTATAGAAGTGTGAATTTTTTACTTTCCTTTTTGCAACTAATTTGGCGGCATTTAGTACAGTAGAAACAACTGTTAACTTGCAAACAAATCTATACAAGAGCTGAAATGGGGACAACTGGGACTAGATCAATCAAGATTAGATATTTCCTCTACATATAGACTTATAGTAATGACATTTACATTTTCTCTCACTTCTGGATTAGGATATAACACAGGCCTTTGTGTTGTATGTTTATTCTCCACATTGTATCAACTGAACAATGTTAAAGAACATGGGATTTAAACACAGCAGAGGCAAAGCTAAAATAGTGACAGGTTTCCCATCAGAAACACTAGGTTTGTCTAGTTCAGAGCATCACATGCTCAGTCATTGATCCTTTTGCCCACCTGTTTCAATATCAGCAAAATCATGTACTCAGAGTTCTTCTTCCTTGCCCTCTCCCAAGCACAAAAGACACAGCTGAGCAGCTCATGGACCAGTTGTGTCAAGTCTGTGAGACTCAGGAGTAAAAAAATGCTGCAGCACTGCATGAAAGCCAGGGAATGGATGTCTTTCAGCTAAGCCTCTGTATTTAAAAAGATCTCTCATCAATCTTCCCATTCTACAGCCTCTCTACCCACAGACAGTACCTGCTCTTAGCTCATTCAGTTACATATTCATACAAATGAACCAATTCTTGAAATACATGGACTTCAACAACTGAGAATGTGAGTATCAAACAGCGAGCCATTCAACACATTTCCAAATGGTATGTAGACTACCACAAATTTTAGAAAGCATCACTGGCAAGATAAAAGCCGCATGGATATCCACAGATTTGCAAGATTCTACTGGTGATTTTGGTAAGCAGGAAAAGAGAAAAGAATGGGAAACCAATTTGCCTCTGAACAGCAAATTTAGAACAGAACAAGGAACATCCTCTCAACACAAAGAAGTAGTCATGGTATTATTATCCACAGTTTATAAATGACAGCTCCATCTCAAAAAAGACCCAAAAAACCCACAAAACCAAAAATGGTCACTGAGGAACCAATAGTTTACATCACTGAATAAAGGTTTGTTCATAACTCATTCCCCATTCTTTTTTTCTCCCTTATTTCTTTCAGAGAGAATCTGAGACTTTCGTCTTACAGTATCAGTGGTCAAATAAGACAGATAAAACCAATATGATCAATGCAAAAGAGTAGAAAGCATGCAACTGCTGCCTAAACAGGTCTGAAATTGAAAAAGTTAGTTTAAACCACCAGAACCACTTAAGAATTAGAGCTGAAGCTTCCTGAGTTAGCCAAGCAAACAGAAAATGAAGGAGATTTCTTTTTTTAAAATAAATGATCTGTAGCTGACAAGTGTCTTGCCATTTGTGTCAAAAGGTCAGTTTTGCACTTTCCCCTCAACATTCTTCCATTCACATTTTCATTACTATGAAACCTAGTTTAAAACGCATGACTATGGTCACCCATGATGGCTAAAAGGAAAAAAATACAGCAGTTTTACAGCTGACCTCAAAATCACTTACAACAGCCCAGTAAAAGTAGAGATGAGGAAGGCAGGCACAGAAATTACCT